AGGAATGCATGCATCGCTGTCCGGCCGCCCAGAGGTAGAACTACAGGTTTGGCATTCACCACCTCTTGCCCCCTTCCTTTCTGAATTTTCAAATCTAGACACTTGTATTGTGCTTATACAAGCTCCTCCCCTCAACAGGAAGTGAGACCTTAACTCTAAACTTCCTTTCTTTTCATCAGGCCAGTCTGTTCCTATGCCTGAATTTCCTATTGGCTCAGTAATGCAGTTGGGAAAAATAAAAACATGCTCGTCACTGTAAGTCAAACAAGGGCTTTCAGCCCCACATTGCACAGAAAGCTTTTTGTGGGAATTGAAGGGAGACTTGTTTTTCAGCTTCATGTGGTTCTAGATGAGAGAGACACGCACGGGCAGTTGGTATCACAGAAGTACAATTGATATGCAACTCTTATCATGACTCTTGACAACAATTTTAGGGCAGTACAAACAGCTGTCTACATTTACTAGAGCCACATAGGAGGGCTACTATGCTTATTGAATTATGTACACATCACTGGGGAGTAAAATGTTAGAAGACCCTAAATACTGTTGCACTGGTGCCCATCACTATACTATCTATCTGAGCACTTGAGCGAAGAACTACAACAGTGAGTCAGTCAATAGTGAGATCAAATATTCCTTACAATTGTTAACTAATCAGGTGGAGACAGTCTTTACAGACATGGCTCTGAAGGGCCTAATCAACTCTTTAAACTGCTTTGAAATCTCACAGACCCTGCCAGACTTCAATATGAACAGCATAAATGAAGTCAGCGAAGACGTGCATGAAGATGCAGGCTCATAACACAAAATTTTATTAGCTTGTTTGCAGCATGGATATCATTGCTCTTTATTTTCTTGCTACTAAGCTCAGCAGTTCTTTAATTAATCCATTTTGCTCTAGCGTACTAGTTTTCTTTGTAGGCATAATCAAAGAATAACAGAATCAAATACATTAACTATTTGATTTATTAGAAAAGTCCTGTTTTTTCTTTCTTTAATTTAATTCTATATTGTGAAAAGTTACCAGCCTCCCTTTACAGAAGCTCCCTTTACAGGTCACAAACAGTACTCCATGGAATGCGGCTGCATGTAATTATTTTTATGGATGCCTTGCACTCAATTTTAAGCTGTCTACTTTCAGTCAGAGTTAAGCTGGTTAAGCAAACAGCACAGTTGTCTCAGGAAGCCTCCAGATATGTCCACTGAGCAACTGGTAAACAATCAGTTGGCATTAGGCATCTACCTACCACAAGACCACAGTATCTTTTATCTGGGCAAAAAGATAGGGTTGCTACTGAGCTAAAAGTTAAGCCCTTACAAACAGTCCCAATTGCACCTTGCCTAGACATACCTTCCTCAGTCTCTAGTTCAGAGATTGGTGCACACATGGCTGTTCAACAAGTGATCTCTGTACCTCTTGCTGTCTCTGACATGTATAACACTAGCTGGCTAGGACATGCTTCCAGTTAAAGAACTCTTCCAAATGAACGTTTAAGTATAATGGTGTATTCCTCAGCTCAGACTCCATCAGGCTGGAGCAGAATTACTCTTATAAACTTGAAAAGGGTAATGTCTGTTCTGCAGCTGCAGCGGGCCCTGCACATTCTCAAGCACAAACTTAGCCACCTGCTCCACTTTTATACTCCAGACATAGAAATACACCAGGGATGGGGCTTCAGAGACATCCCCAGTAGTTTGGTTTCCAGCATGCTTGAAAACAAGTGCAAGCAGGAGTGAGCAAGCAAGTAGGGTGTACTAGGAAATATTCTGGCCAGCATGTGCTCCTGCTGTACTATAGACATGCTATATGTATGTACCTCATGCTGTGAGTGATCCTAAGGCATGGTGCCGAAGCAGTTAAAGCATTTTGCTATGATTTCAGAGCATAAGTTCAAACCTTCCTCAGCTCTCATACCAAAGGCTGCCAGTAAATGGGTCCCCTGGTCATCTGGCTAGAAGTCAAAGGTGGCAGGATGCAGTGCTGGCCAAATCACTCCTTTGCTATGGAAACTGGGGTGCCTTTACCACATTAGCCTGATGGGCCACCTAGACTCAGGCAGACCTTTGAGCCCATGAGTGACTGGAGAAATTGAATTATTTTTTTCCATGAAGCAGAGGCACTACTTGGAAAAAAAAAAGTCTAACCAGCAAGAACAGAACAATCCATTTGGTGATCCCCAAGTGCCCTCTTCCTCTGACAATGAGCAATAAAACATCACCACGACAAACTCTGAGGCATTGCTGTTGCTGAAACCCTACACATGGACATAAAATCTATTAAGTGACTTTTTCACACCAAGGACAGATTGGTTGTCAAGGCTGCTTGTTTAAACTGAATTTGCATTGAAAACATGACTATCAACCGAGCACATGCAGGTCATTACTTTAGGTAGAGATTATTAGCAAACTCGTATGTCAATAATTTTTACCCGATCATCACCAACACCGTACCTTGGAAACATATAGGAAACAAACTTGTCCTAATAACATGAGACAGGAAGCAAGTGTCTCATTGGTTTGGCGACTGGATTCATTAGGAAAACATTTAAAAATGCGCTGACTGTTGCATTGCAGATTTCAAATAGTAATGCTTACATACTGCATATATGTCACATGTAGCAGTTCCACAACATACTGGTCTCAACCTTTCCACCATTCATGAATGCATTAAGATGCTTGATAACTTACGTGGAATCAGTGTCCTTTTCTTTCTTCCGTATACCAAAGGCCTTCCTTGTACGCTTTTTCAATCCTGTGGACAAAAGGAAAGGAGTCAGAAGGACATCTCAATATTATGCTACCAATAGACTTTAATGAAACCCGCTTGCTCCATTAGCACCTGCAATTTAAGAAAATGAGACTTTATTGACAATTGATAGGCAAACTCTTGCTTTTTAGCAGTTCATCTATTAATTTGTTTTGCATATTAATTATATTAACTAACAATAACAACATTTCAGTATCAGTGCTTATGTACATGCTCTTTATTTTTGGTATGGAACTTAGAAAAATATATCTTGGTGGACTCAATAATGTATGAAACTATGAAACCACTGAAATAATTGAGTAAATGCTCATGCTAGATTACAGTCTTCATCAGCTTTTGTTAGAAGTTTAGAGATACACATTATTTTCCAATTCGTGGTTTTGTACATCCATAGTCTTGTTATCACAGAGAAGTAAGGCTGGAACGGACCTCAAAAATCACCTAGTCCACCTGGAGAAGGTTGCAGGTTCAATTCTCTGGTTGGACTAGATGATCTCTTGAGGTCCCTTCTAGCCTTCTCTATGATAACAAGACTATGGATGTACAAAACCATGACACCAGAAAATAGTGTACATCTCTATACATTCTTCATTAGCTTTTGTTAAAAGTTAATGAAGAATGTAAACTAACATGAGCATTTACTCCTTAATTATTTCAGTGCTGTCACAGGTTTCATACATCATCCTTAAATGTGGAAGACAAGCTTCTCCTCATCCTTTTTTTCTTTGTAAATACCACAGAATCAAAAACCATCCGTATCATTCTGACTGCTAAGAGCTTTGCAATTACTCAAGGTGACTTGCAGATCAATATGCTCTACAGCATTAGTAGTATTACAGAATATTGATTAACTAGGAAAAAAATAACCCCTCCCCCAAGGTTGTACATATCCCACCTGTCGCTATGCATGAAGGAGACTTCAGTTCAGGAGCAGTTTCTGCCCTCCTTACTGAGACTTCTGTTGTTACAGCAATACCCTTCAATTCACCTCCAAAGACCAAGTGTACAAAACTAGAATATTCCCTATTGGCCTATTGAGAAACTGGAGCTTGTGTGGCTTATCCATCTGGTTGAAAAAAGAATCCTCCAACAGTAAGTGCTGCCAGTGGATTGAGAGAAGAAGCAGAGAAAGAACAGATAATCCCTACAGCCCAAAGTTACAACTGATTTGCCAACCATAACCTTTCCAGAGAAACATAGGCCTCAAGTAGTGTTCCCTGTCCAATAGGGTTTTATTGAAATTCACCTCTTATAATGTGTTCACGCATCTTCATGTGAAACTATAATTATAAGCCAACTTCTCTTCTACATACATTTGTTACTCTGTTATTCAAAACAAGTTAATTTCTGAACAGTGCTGTTGCACATACCTGTTACAATGGCAAATATGACTATACAGTAAACCGACTGGGATCCTTCCTTAAAATTAAACAGGCCAGTCCAAGTACCAAGAACAACAGCTATAAAGTGTCATCCTCAATTTACTTAGCCAACTCATGTCTGCACCATAACTCAGTGGTTTTAAATGCTTTGTTAGCCAAAGACCTAACATATTACTGAGTCCTAGGCAGGAAAGAAAAGAACATCAGTGAAAGACTGAAGGTCAGTTCCCACATAAAGAACTTCACTGGAGGCCAGAAAAACTCTAAGTATAGAATGTGGAGTCTGATTTTCTAGGTAAAGAGTAATTTGAAAGTTGCTATGGAGAGAGAAAACTCTAGTGGCTGCTGCAATATGTAAGCATAAAGAGACAGTGTTCTTCAGCACTGTGAGGGTGCTCTTAACAGAAGGATGCACTATACAGCTAAGTACAGACAATCAAAAAGGCTGAATTAATTCAATCTTCACAGGTCAGTCTAAACTGTGTAGACTGAACTGATAAGCAAAAGTAAACAGACATTCATTTCCGATTCCAGAAATTCAGCCCCATACCGGCAGTGACCTGGGCCTGAAGCTGGGTGGTGCTAGAGCATGCCTTCTTGCTCAGCTGGAGCAGACAGCTTGAGCCAAGGCTAGCCTGCCTACTCTGCGAGGCAGGGTTTTCTGTGGAAGTGCAGAGCAGCCTGGGATGCTGGGGGACTGAGAGTTAACTTGAAACTGGAGGGAATCTGGACACACAAAAATCAATGAAGTGATCTAACTAAAATCAGTTAAGTCCAATATTATATCCCTCCAGGTTTATCTTAAACCAGTTTCAGCCATTTTGAAAGTGGTTTATGTGCACTGCGTTACAGATTTGAATCGGCTCCAATCGCTTACACTGGTTTATGTGTAATTTCTGTCCCTAGCCTACCTGAACATTTTCTCCAAGGCCACCAGGCTAGAACAGACTTTTCTTTTACACAGTTTGCCATGCTTCTTTGTCCCACCTTTAAAATTGTGCTATATTTATAGAATGCTCCATAAATACCCAGTTCCTTGGATCTGTGTCTCTACTAGCCACAATACAATTACATCCCACATTTATCCGTATAAAAAATCCATTTAGCATTTAATATCTAGCACTAGTAATACTTACTAATATTTCCACTGATTCTTGGACTGATGAGAAAAGCATTCACTTTACCCTTATTTAGTATCAATAGAAATTAAGCCTTATGTCTTGTATCACTACACACAATTCCAACCTTCTAGTCCAACATGACTGGTATCAACAGCTATGAACAACAGAAGAACTTACAACACTTTGAGCCACTTGTACAGCAATCAGGGTAAATACCAAGAACTCTAAAATGGATTATTTGTGCTGTTGGGAAGAGGCTGGGGATAACATGCCTGGTGACAGTAGAAGTACTTTGCAAAATGACAAATATGACATTATTTTCCTTATTCTTTCAGGACTAGCTGATATTCAAATATCCTGCAAGGCACATGTACAGCATGCACACTAGTAGAGATTCTGCAGCATTTCAGGCTGAAGACAAAGTTTGATGGGGTTGGTCAGACTTTGGAACTAGTCATTTGAACAGATGGGATGTTTGCTAACCTGGGAGTATTTTGCCAGCCACTGCTGAGTGACTGAGCAGTCGGTTCCCAACTGGCCTCCCCAGGCAGGATTATTAGTGGACAGTACACTCCTCCTTGGGATTCAGCACCACATTGCTATCTAATATTGAAAATACTCCTCTGCCAGAGGTCAGGAAAGCACTGGCATTATGCATGTATTGCAATAAGGTGGCCTAGCTTCAGCTCAAAATGGCCCTCACCTTTTTTGTTGTTGTTGTTTTTGTTTTTTTAAACTAACTAATGACATTTCCTAATCAGACACTGACAGACATGATGCATCTTCTCTGAAACTGCTTTAATCCTCAGGCAGCAGCTTTTAAAGTGATGACTAGATGCTAAAGCAGACAGCCAATTAGTTGCAATGCCCATCTGGTGGCTGGGCTCACTGTGTGTGTATCCTGTACATTCCCTAGCCAGAATGGTCACAGTTCAGCAGCTGCGGCTCTACTAGTTGAACCAGAGAGAGAGAGAGAGAGAGAGAGAGAGA